GTTTAAAACCACTCTCTCAACAGGGTCGAGCTTTTCTATTTTCATATCGATCAAGCTAAGTCACTAATTATTATACCAAAAATAATGGCACAGATTACTACTTATTCCTAAACAAAATTATGTTTATCGTTTTTTGATTTATAAATTAAATACTACATACAGTATAGCAAATATAAAAATGGCTGAACTTCGTGAACAACTTTTCGAATTTATAGGTTTCAAACCCAATGAGATTCGTTTTCCAGAAACAGAGGAGAGATCAACGACTATTTCGAAAAATTATCGCAGATCAAAGAATGGCAACAAATATCAAATGTAATCCTAAAAATCAAATTAAAATTTTACTTGCAATAATTTTTATAAAAAGAAAAAAACTGATTTGTTTTAAAAAATAGATGTGTTTTTAGCAAAACAATGATTCTAAATATATACAAGTCATTTTGTCAAAAATTTTCTTGCTAAAATATATCAGATTGTTGAATGGTCTTTTTATAATAGATATTGAATCTGTCTGAGAACCTTTATAGTATTATTAAGATAATCTTGAGAAGATGCCTAAGAATCAGGCTAATTTAGAGCCATTTATATTAGAAGAATAGAAAAATTTCCTAAATAAACTTAAATTAATAATAAATAATAAAGTTTAAGTTCTTAGCCTCGCTTTATAAAAATCTAATGTGCTTCTAATTATTGGATATTTTATATATTTTATGATTTATTCCGGTTCCATACTATATATGCACATTATTATTTTTTGTGTATAAAATATATATGAAAAATTTGAATACATTCATAAGTTATAAAAATTGGGATAAAAATTTAGCAATAGTCCATCACCAAAATTCAAATAGAAATGAATAATTATAGTTTTATTACAGAATATAGATAAAAATGCACTTTTTTTAAAGCTATATCAAATCTGAACTGAACTTTCGGAACTGGCACACTTCCAGATGCAGCAAGTAGCCACATATTGTACAGTGTATGGGGGACATGAGAGCAGGCAAATATGTCATGATATGTCATGCAAGCACAGAGTCAAGAGACATTCTGAAAGACAGATTTGAGTCTTGCTGGTGTGGTCCGGTTGTTATTAGCAAGGCTCCGCCATTTTTAAAAAATGTTTTGCCCATTTGAAGTTGTATTGAGCATAGGTGCAATAAAACAAAATCCAACGCTAAACACTCATATAATATGGACTATAAGCAAAAGTCATATGTCATATTCGGATGAGACAATCACGCAGTTACAGTTCAATCAATAAAAGAAAACCATGTGCCTTAATAATGTAAAAATAATGTGGAGGAACAATCAGATAACTATTCATATAATTCATGTAAATCCAATAAACTAACCACCAAGTGTAAAAAAAGTAAAAATTAATTGGGAAACCATGTCTATGTTCGTGATTTTTTTGAGAGTGATTCAGTAATTTTGCCCAAATAGCCCCCAACCTCGATATTGGCATGTTCTTCTTGGTCCTTTCCCTTTCGTTTTCTATGTGCTCGAGCATGGGATAAAGCAATGTCATTTGCTTTATTGCAGATGTAGTTGAGAGTAGCCTATAATCGCGTAAAAGTTGCATTACATAAATTTATAAAGCAGTAATATGACAAAACATTACCTTAACATCTTTCATTTCCACATAAAACTTTTCTATACATGCAAGTGTTCTTATGGAATTGGGTAAGACTGTTGTGCACAACTTCCCATACCTACAAATGTTCGTTCCTTTGCAATCCATAGCAACAATCTGATGTGTCCAGCCTTTAAAATAAAAAAATTATAAACATTTATGAATAGAGCTTAGTATGTGTCAACTAACTGCTTACCCCATGATTGAACTCCGAGAACAAATATTTTATGTAAATCTTCATCCGGAGCGTTTACATTAGAGTTGAAAAATGCGTGTAGGATATCCCTCATCGTTATAGACAAGTCAAGATTATCCGAAAAAAATTTTTTACGATGTGGTTCTAGGAGACCATCACTTCGGAGGCCTATTATCGCTTCTAATTCATTTATACTGTGTTTTAACGTTCCTCGAAAGCCACATTTTTGTCCCACTCGGGCACGGAGTGTAATTAAGTGACCTTCGTTACGTCGTTGAGCAGAAGCCCAGGAACAGATCTCTCCCCTAAAGAAATATGCGTGTATGAAAGGGATTAATAAACAAAACAATCATGACTGTTATAATTTCTTCAACTTACGAGTCTATTTTCAATTCGGTCATGTCGAGAAATCTTCTTGTGAGCATGTTTGTGAATAAATTATCAAAAGCAGACTCCGAAATCGGTTGATTAACATCAGCCAAGTTCTCTGCACTATGAAATAGTAACCAAAGAGAAATTTAAAATTATAACAAGAAAAAAAAGTCATACTGTATCTCACTTACTACGTCAAGACCGCTCTCTTGATTTCAAAAATATAGGCTTTATCTTGTTCACCGAGTGTGATCTCGTACTTTGCTTCTATTTTCTGCGAAGATATCTCGTCAATTCCCATTAAAATATCCTCACTCTTCTCATTATTCTTTATCACCTGAAACAAATAAATAACATGAGTAAAATCTGAATGTAATAGAACATCGATCATCATTAGTCACCTGCTCAATTTCATCGAAAAACAAAAATACAGCGTCAGGTATATCTTCTTCAATAATTTCTATTTCATCTTCAAAACTTTTCAACATCTCAGTCCAATCGTCGGGAGAGAAGAGTTGTTTTGTTTCTTGGTGAGTACCGGTGAGATCGAGGATTCCCCAGTAAACAGGACTATTGAATAAAAAAAATTCATGAATTATGAGCATTGTCAAAGATGCAATCACTGATGAAAAAAAACTCACTTCATGCATCTTTGTGATTCAGGAATTAGGCATCTATAAATGGTCAATACTTGACCCACATCGGTTCCACTTGATAAAATCCAGCGTTTTGTCCGACCTATAGTGTCCGGTTCATGTCTTTTAATAAACGTGGAATCTTCATCTGGATCAACATTCGTATGTCCGTCCAAAGTTTTTCTGTAGGTTTCTTTTTTCTTACTTTTAGATTTGATTATTTTCTGGAGTAGAGAATAAATATTCAGTTGCTTGTGACTTTTCGACCGCTTCAAAGCTCACCTCCCTATGCCTGTATACATACCGCGTAATTCATGGTTTCGGTCAGAATTTTGTTTCACAACTTTCTGACAGATCGATTTTTCTTTAGAAAGATTTGAGAGATAATTAAAGTAAGCTGCGTGGACATCTCGCTTTTCATTCAGCTTTAAAACTAGCTGAGCATCAATTTTTCGAAGGCAAATAAACATTCCAACATTTATACAAACTGACTTTTGATTTCAATAAGTCACAAAAATTTCGACTTTGACAAGTTCCTTGCGGTATTCTGAAGACACGAAATAAATTTTAAAATGAAACGCGAAAAATTGAGTGATCACTCAAAATAAGTGTCGATCAGCACATTTGAACAGTAAACATGAGTGAAATTTCCGGATCGCGAAAAAAACGTAAGTTTATTGGTTGCACATGACTAAAATCGCCGGTCCTCACGGAATTAATACTGTTTCCATATAATATAAGTCATGGGGCATTAACCTCCCGTTGTTGTTATAACCAATAAAATAAAAAATTCATTAATAAAAAAAAAAGTATTCGATTATTTTTTTATTTAAAAAATTTCTTAAAATTAACAAATTAATTTTTTTTTAAATAAGAAAACATATCTTTATTTTTTGTATATAACAAGATATATATTAAAAAAAAATAATATTTTTTAAATTTATTATAAAAATTTATATAAGTAAATTACAATTTATATATTAAATTTTATTATAAATTGATACTATTTCAATATTACATTAATATTAGTTTAATACTTTTTTGAAGATTTTAACAAAACATATAATACTGTAAGTTTAAATATTAATTTTTTTTTTTTCAAGTAAAAAGTACTAATAGCATATGTATTTTATTCTTGAGTTATTTATATCCAAGTATATAACTATAAAGGTTCATTTAAGTTAACCTACTTTTTCATCTATAGCCTTATCAAGTAATACTAAATTTTACCATCAAGAAAATGGTTTGACTTATCAAGTGAAATCTTTAGGAGATAGAAATCATACTACTAGTTTAGTTTAAATATTAACTTATTTATTATTATTATCTAATTAATATATTAAAAAAATTTTATATAACAATTAGCTGCTCAGAGCCATTTGACAAGATGTATTATTTTAAAATTTATTTTCAGTACTAGTTAAATGGTTACTGTAAGCAAGCTAGTATTTAATTCATTGTCTTGTTACATATGAGAGATGTTGTTTCTTTCATAATATATATATACTACTATACAAACTAAATAAAAAGATAATGTTTACCTACAAAAAAAAAAAATTTTTATATAACAATTTTTTTATTTTTGTTATACCTGTTATATTATTATATAATTAGAATATTCTGAATTCTTATCTTTTAGAATTCTATTTATTTCTTATAAATTTTCTAGCAAATTAATTTATAAACTAATAAATCAATTTTTTAAAATTCTTTAGAATTCAAAATAATTATAAAAAGTTTTAAAAATAGATATTATTGTAAAAAAGATATTTGATATTTAAATTTGAATTAATGTAATAAGTTTTTATAAAAGCTTTTATGAGAAATTTCTGAAATAATTTAATATGGTTTTAAGAAAAGTAAAAATTGATATTTAAATATCAATTTTAATCAAAAATTAAATATTATATAAGTTTATAATAAAAATCTAAATTATAGTTTGAAAATATATTTGTTAATAATTGATAAAAATATTGAAAGAAGTATTTAAGATTAAAGAAGTTAAAGAAAATATTTAAAAAAATATTTAAATTAAAGACTTTTGATTATTTTTAATATTGTATATAAATATATTTAATATAAAAAATTTAATATATTTAAATTTATATTAATTATAAGAAAGAAAAAAATAATATTGGATAGTGAAAATTCAAAATAGAATAAAATAATTTTATAAAAATAATAAAAATCTTTTAAGTTTTTTAATCATATTATTTAGATTTTTAAAATCATTTTTTTTTTAATTGAAAATATATATAAAATTTCTTTGAAAAGATTTTAAGAATTATTAGAAAAATAGCAAAATATAAGTTTGATAAAAAATTAAATTATATAAAGAATAAAAAAATCCTATTATATTTGTTGTGATACTTCTATTAAGAATAGAAATTCTATAGAAGATTTTAACTTTTATTTATAAAAAAATTAAATCTAAAGATAAGAATAGTTTCAACAGATTGTTTTGAAATATTTTTTTATATTTTTTAAAAAGTTTATAATAGTTTAATTTATTATTTTCCATAGAACAATAAAAATAATTACATATATATTTTATAATTTGTGTTAAAAATATAAATTAAGATTAAATATATTAATATCTTATATCTTAAATAGGCAATAAAGACCTGTGGGTCTATAGCACAGTAGTTAGTGCTCCACAGGTCAGATCACAAGATATCAGTTCAATCCCATGTGAAGGCGATTGAATAGAATTAATATG